CTTTCTGGTGGTTTGGCATATATGTTTTATGAGTATTATTTATGTAAAGTAGTCAAAAAAGGGATTAAGATGCTTTCAATACACCACTGTCAGTTACTTGTAAGACTCTGAAATAAATTCATTAGGATGTGACATAAAGGGACCACGTTTTTCCCTTTTGCTTTATTTACTTCCTGGTATAAGACAGTTTCGTTGAATACATTCTTATTGGAAAAAAATGCACACAACAGATTCAACTTAAGGAAGAAAGAAAAGTGTATCTTCCTTTGTGTTTCCAGGGATGCAGTCCATCATGATGGGAGAACTTATGTTGGCAGGAGGAGGAGATGGTTGGTCACATTGTGCCCACTGTGGAGAAACAGAGGGTGATGAATCATGGTATTCAACTTGCTTTCCTCTTTTTAATCAGTCTGAGACCCAAGCCCATGGGGTCGTCCTACCCACATAAATGAAGTCTTCCAGACTTATCAGTTAAGTCTAGATAATCCATTAGAAGCATGCTAAAAGATTTGTTTCCTAAGTGATCACAAGTGCCATCAATTTGACAATAAAGATGAGCGATCCCAAGGGCATAGAAGGAACTATAGAGATTATATAGAACACTATGAGGATGCTTTGGGATTATTTTGGTCTTTTCAGGTTAACTAGTCATTGTGAGGTGTTTTGATGCTGTCTTATTGGAAATATAATGCAACCACTTAACTAATAATAACACTATATCCACTACTTCAATCTTTTCAACTGTCTAAAGATCTACTAATATCAATTTGCTTATTGGATGTAATAGTTTAGAAAAATATATTTGTAAACATTTCTCCCCTTACATCCAAATGGAAGTTTTTAAACAGAATTATGTTTCCATGAACTGATTAATTCCAGTAGCGAGGAATGTTGGAGAATTCTCTTTTAAGGTTTTCCATGGGAATTTAAGTACCATGTAGTAGACCAAGCACAGACAGTCTGCTGAGCACAGTGTTGAGAGGTCTGTCCCATTGTGCATGCTTTCAATGAAGCTGGGAAGAAAAACATTGTGTCCCATAGTTCTCTCTGCCTTGTCTCCAGATGACTTGTTTGATTGTCAATTTAAGGAATAATTTAAGATATTTGTATGCATTTTGAAAGCCCATGAAATTCAGATAAGTAATTTTAATATAGATCACCCAACTGTAACTTTTCCAATTTTCCTTCCTTCATTTCTATAAAACATCCATTTTGATTTATGTTATTTTCTCTAAAATACATTCTGAAACAAGATCAGCATCTAAGCCCATGTCACACTTCCATCTTGAGTCATCTACTAGCTGAATTATGGGCCTAGAGTGATACATTCTATATGCATGGTTGAGTATGCCTGCTTATTTATAATATTGTCAGAGAAAATAGGATTCAGTATAAAATGGCAGCCCAACAGGATTTTGCAAACCCAGACCCCACACTCACAATGTTTCCCACTAGGAAACTTTTCAGGCCTTCCTGAGTGCCTGTTTACTTCTTGTATATGCAATTAGAGTGAGCAAAGAATTGACCAGTTTGTAGAAATGGAGCAAGCGTTTACCAGCACAATGCTGTGTGGCTGTAGATCAATCACTGTGTTTGTATGATGGAGCCTCTGCATGCTGAAGCAAAGGGTGACATATCACATTGAACCCAACTAATATATACAATGAATAAAACAACTATTTTAAAGTATGAATAGCAGATTCTTTTTCATCAGAAAATATTACCAAATAATGACAAAAAAAATGAAGTCCAGACTGTCTAGAGTCCTGAATTGGGAAGTCATGTGGTCGTATAAGAATGTTTTTCCAGAGAACCTGTCTGCTCTTTCTACTAACCTCAAATCCTGCAAAGGAGTGAATTTGAGTACTAAACAAATGCTTAACATATTAATAAGTTTTTAGATTAAATGAAAAATATGGACATTAGCTTTCCTAGGTCAGAAGTTCCTTCAAATTAATTTTTTAGAGTAAAATTAAGGGAATGATGAAGGGGGTTTGAGAGGGGTTGAGAAATTAAATCAATAAAAGATCCTTTGGACTGATAGTCATTCTGCCTGCTTCTTCATGCCTGGATTCTGGGTCTCAGAACAAGACTACTGGTCCTAAGACAGGTCATGGGAGAGTTGTTTATGCTGATATACCAGAAGAGAACTGGTAACCTTAACGTCAGAGAAGTGGACCCAACCTGTTTAACTAACAAGCTGAGCTTAATGACAGGCAACTGTATTCCCAGACTCTAGGGAAGCTGAGGAAGTAGAGTGGCAGAAAGCCAGATCAGACTGTGCATCTTGGCTAACCTTTATCACCGAAAATAAAAATGAAAAGAAAGAAGGAGAAGGAAAGGGACGAAGGGAAGGAGAAGGGAGGGAAGGACCAGGACAGAGTTGGCACAGCTTACCACTGTCATAACTCACTGAGACCCACCACCCTACCTGGGAGACAGATTCACATCTCTGAGATTAACCTAAACTTTGTGCCAGAAGGTCTGTAGTTGTTAGGAAATTTTATTGCTTAGCTTTGTTGTAAGCTGCCTCGTATATCTACAGTAATGAGGCTGGATATCAATTGAGGCAAACAAATTGCTTCGTGTAATTTTGCCTAGTACCAAAATTCTTAGAGCCAGACACATCCTTAAGAAAAGATGTTTGCCTTTCCAGATAAGCTATGTCCAATGTGACTTAAAATACAGGGTAACAAAAACCTAGAGAATTTTATAAATTACTGTGAACCCATAACCAGCAAACAAATAAGAAAATATTTCAGCCCTGGTATCTTACTTATTTCTGCCTGGGCCTATAATTCCTATGCCAAACAGAATTTCTGTAAGTGTGTTCCTTCACTCCCTTAGTCAGTGAGGACTGAAGTATTGTCAAATGTTAGGCAGAGGCAGAGTGTTGCAAGCAGTTATTTTCCACAGTGTAATTGACAGCCCTAATTAGTGTCTTCTTGAACACTCAGTGCATGCAGAGTCACTGGGGGATGCTGTGCAGCCATTTACAAAGCATACAGCTCCCTTTTGGAGTGCAGTTCACTGATAAGAGCACAGTCCTTCCTCTTTCTGGCTCCAATATTTCTTCTGGTAGAAATTTGGTGAATTTGGTACCCATGGTTCTTCATAGGGATCAATGGACATGTTATTATTGCATGGAGTCTTAAGACTCCATCCATCAACACATCAGAGATTATTTATTTATTTATTTAGTTAGTTAGTTGGTTAGGTTTTTTTTGTAAGTTTTCTCTTTTTAAAAATTTGTTATTTATTATGTATGCAGTATTCTGCCTATATTCTTCCTGCAGACCAGAAGAAGGCACCAGGTCTCATTACAGATGGTTGTGAGCCACTGTTTATTTGCTGGGAATTGAACTGAGACCCTCTGGAAGAGTAGTCAGTGCTCTTAACCTCCGAGCCATCTTCCCGGCTTCCAACATATCAGACTTTAAAATATCTTTTCGGTCTTAGTGAAACTAAACTGCCCTATCTTGTTTGGAAGGATTACCACAAACTTTCTGAGTTGAAACCAAGGTATGCTAGCCATTGTAGTTGCTGAAAAATGGTCGTGGTGGCCCATAGGTTCTGAGATTATGAGTTGCAGATTCTGCATTAAGCTCAGTAACAGCCTTCCACAAAAGGTTCTTGTATTGAGAGGAACATCACATCCATGATTAGATCAGTGTTCTCTTGGCCCTTTGTGAACCCATATCAGTCCAGTTATAAAGGGTGCCGATTCCTATCTTTTGGTAATGCTTGAGCAGAAGGCTGTTCCTCTTGCTTGGAAACTGAATTTTCAACCCTTGCTTTATTCTATCCCCTACTGACCTACTGAAATGAAAGACTAGGAGTCATGATTAAATCTAATTTTCCCTCATGTCGTAACAGGAGGAGCTGGGTCAGCAAGGCCAGTCCTTGCAGATGGCTTTAAAATACCTTTGTGATTTGATCTCCTTGCTGTCCCATCCATTTCTGTAAGTGCCTGTCAATGCCCTCCTTTACCACCCTGACAAGTTCCCAAGGTGAGGACAGTGCAAATGAACAAGCAGGTTTGTGATGCCTCTGAGAGGGTTGCTTATCAAATGAGGCAAGCAATGATCCAAGTCTGGCTTCTAAACTACAAGATAGGTTAACACATTTACAGGGAAAAAAAAAACTCCACTATGTTTAACCCATTCAAGCACATCATTGCGCCTTTGCAGCCTGGTATAGCTCATGGAAAATCAGCATAAGCTCACACATTCATCATGCCATTTCTTTTCAAATAAGCTAAAGCTTATTCTTTAAAAGCTAAAGCTTTTCATTCTTTAAAATTCTAACTTGCTTTCTCAGAACAGTTTTTTCTCTGTGTGTGTGTGTTTATGTGTGTACATGCAGAGGAAAGATATATTATTTGTGTAGAGGAGTATGTTTGAGAGTCCCTTAGAGATCACCACAGGAATCATTGGTTCATTTTATCGTATACCCTGAAGTCGCACAATACCCAGCATATCAGTTATGCTTACATCACTTGGAATCAAATAACTGGGCAAACAAAACAATAACAACAATAAAAAATAACAAAAAAAGGAAGATTAGCTTGTTTGAATCCTGGTTCAGATTCCCCATGCAAGTTTCCCCCATGCCTTTGAATATAGCATCATGTTGATGGGGGAATGTGTGCTAAGAGGCTGTTCATCCCATAATAATCAGAAAGCAGAAAGCAAGAAGGGAACTGGGGATAAAGTGCAACCTTCAAAGACACACCCCAAGTCACCTCCTTCCTCTAGTAAGACTGTGCTCTAGTACCGACTGTCTGTGACCAAGCATCCTATATATGAATCTGGGGACACATTTCATGTTTAAACTGTAACACTCAGATTTCCACACTGGGTCTAATATGGCAAGTACTTTGGTTTCATTATGATAAGTTCATTTCTGATTCTAATGACCAACAGAAGTATATTTTCTACTCTCATAGGTATTCTGTATATGAGTCACACCTAGAGGTAACATGCCTGTTTCTATTTCAGATTGGAAATATGATGTTTCAAAGGCCTTTCCTCAAAGAGATGATGGGGTGGATGTGGACTCACAAGCATACAGCCACAGATGGAAAAGAAACTCGGATCCTTTTAAGGCAGTAGACACAAACAGAGCCAGCATGGGCCAAGACTCGCCAGAGCCCAGAGGCTTCACTGACCTGCTACTGGATGATGGCCAGGACAACAACACCCAGATCGAGGTAAGTAAATGTTCTGGATAATCAATTTTAATTAATTATTCATGATTTCCTTGTAAGACACCTAAACTCAGCCAGGCGGTGGTGGTTCCCACCTTTAAGCCCAGCACTTGGGAGGCAGAGGCAGGCGGATCTCTGTGAGTTCAAAGCCATCCTGGTCTACAGGAACTAGTTACAGGACAGGCTCCAATACAACACAAGGAAACCCTGTCTCAAAACAAACAAACACACAAAAAATGCCTAAACTCTACTGTACATATCCTGTCTCATCTTCTTACTGTATACCTTTTTCCTAAAAAGTTTTTAAACTTTTAAAGAAAAGTTTAATTGGCTGATAAATATGCTGGCTAAGTCATCAGTCTATTTATTCATGAGATAGACAAACATGGGCTGGAAGCAGTAGTGACAGCAATAGAAGAATACAGCCCTGTCTCTAAGGGAATCCACTGTCTGGGAGGTCAAACCACCGTGACCAGATCATGTCTATACTAAGTGACATCTATGAAAAAGAACACTTCAGTGGGGCTTGCAGTAGGGTATGCTGAATTCTTTTGGGATAACAAATCAGAATGCTAACAAAGCAGCTTTGCCCAGGAATGGCTCTTTAGACAAGGTTTTGGTAAATTAAGAAGTCACTTGACTTATAAGCTATCAGTGAGATGCGAGACAAGTATTCTGCTAGAAGGAACCATGTCTACAGGGGATGAGTGTTGGAACTGCATAGCAAAGTAGATTCTTGAGGGGTTAACTCTTCATCTTTGCCTATGACTAGAGAGTTTCATGGGTTATAGGACTTTCATTGCCAAAAAAGGTACATTTTTTGAAAAACTGAGATGAGTACTCAGTGAGTAGAGGCTGATGGCAGAGAGACCATTGGACTAATTACAAAGAGCATCTTAAATGAATAGTTGAATAATATGCATTTCCATGATTAGTGCTTTATTGAAGGCAGGGGCAAAAAAAGTAGAGAAACTCTCAGCTCTATATCTGTTTCTGACCATGCATGCTAGTTTGGCTGAGATCAAGGCAAGGTTTTTCCTTCTTGGACTGGTTGTTCTAGGGGTTGGGATAAGAATTTGGCTGGAATTTGTGATCCAGTCATTGTCTGCTTACATATCCTTTTTCAATTTTATATTTTAGGTGTTATTTTCTCCTAGATGTTACGGTTATAATTTCTGAACTGAGCAGTGTCTTTTGCTATTCCTAGTATACTCATTACTTAGGAGATAACTCGGTTTCATGAAGCAGATGCTACACAATTTAGCAAGTAGACTGAGGAATCATTTTGTTGCCCACAAAGTCAGAGAAATTCTTTAAAACACAGATTGTCAGAGGTATATGTGTGAGAGGCTCAAACATGGCCAAATGGTTTCTCTGTGGCTATAGAAGGTGTTGAAATAAGAAGCGGCGGGGCTGCGTCCCCAACACCCTGACCGCTCGGCTAGCTTATGCCCGAAATAACAACACACAAACTGTATTCATTTAAGAACTGCTTGGCCCATGAACTCTAGCCCTTACAGGCTAATTCTCGCACCTGGACTAGCCCATTTCTAATAATGCGTCTAAGCACCCCAAGGTGCGCTTACCGGGAAGATTCTAGCCTCCGTCCATCCTGGGAGAGTGGAGCATGGTGTCTCTGCTCCAGAGAGCAGAGCTGTCGGGTCTGTCCGGGAGCAGAGCAGAGTCTGACCTCACTTCCTGTTTACTCCTCCCATCTATGTTCTAAGCTATGAGGCCAAGCAGTTGGTTTATTATAATTAACCAATGACCTTCCTCCATCATTTCCCCTTTTTCTGTTTAAACAAAAAAAAGGAAGGCTTTAACTTAACATAGCAAAATTACATATAACAAAACCGTTATCAAATAAAAATTACAATAATCTATATCATAACTAAGGAAAACTATAACTATAGCTAACTATTCTTTAACTCCATCAAAGACTCCAGAAAGATATACTATTACCTAAGCAAACAAGAAATCCAAAACTCTAGAAATGACAGAGACATCTCGCTGCCTGGACAGTCACCCAAAGTTCCTCTGTACCGTTGGGGCATCCATCTTCGGCCTACAGGCCCATAGTTTCCAGCAGACATTTCCACAAAGCAGGAAATTTCAAAGGCAGTCACTATCTGCTTGTCCTGAAGAATGTCTTGCAGACTCTTTCATGAATCAGGAACCCCGAAAGATCATCTCACCTTTAGGCAAGTTCAGCAGTCCTCTCTCTGCGGGTTCTCTGTGTCCAGTTTATGCAATAGTCCAGGCAAGAGCAGTTTCTTGCCCAAATGGCTATCAAACTCCATAAGGATCCTCTTCGATGCCCATCTTCCTCTTGAAGTAGATTGGTGCTGCCAGGAGCAGAGTGTCTCATTGTCATGAAAAGTCCTAAGTTATTAAAACATTTAAAATGCCATATTCTATAATCTTTGAAAAATATGAAGAATGCCTATCTAAAATATATCTATGCACATCTAGAAAATCTTAACTAACATGACTACAAACTTAACTATTATTAATGATTATTCATTAACAATCTATATACATTACAAAATTAACCTTAAATTTAAATCACTAAAGCAAAATCCATATCAATGTAAATTATTCATACCTATATCATCTCCCCCTTTAAATGTAAAAGAACATTTATAAACAATATTTGGGAATATGGGCGCAGTTTTTTCTCTCCAAACTGCTTCCTGCTGAATGGGGGCGTCGTTAATTAGGTCTTTCATGGTATAACCTGTGTGCTAGTTTCATCTCAGTTGGCAGTTGAGCGAAGCAATTTTCTGAAGGTATTCACAGCAACCGTTCAGGAGGGCGTGGTCCATCATACCATATCGGAATAGAAGAAATGAACAGGGTCTCATCCTCTGTGAAAACAAAATAAGAAACTCCTTTCCAAAGTATCATGTCCTTAGATCCAAATTTCAAAGTCAAGGCATCAAAATCTCTACGATGGATTAGTTCAGCAGCATTTATAAACAAATATCTTTTAGCATCTGTTGCTCCTTCCTCAGCATTCAAACAATTCAAAGAGAGCATAATAGTATACAGTATCAAGATTCTCTGTGTATTTTCCATCTTTGTACGCTTTATTTTAACCTCTATTTCGTTTATTTTTACTTTTATTTTATATTCTCTGTATCTCTTTGACCTGGAATAACTCTGTAGACCAGGCTCTCCTTGAACTCTCAGAGATCCGCCTGTCTCTGCCTCCCAGGCATTGGGATTAAAGGTGTTTGCTACCACACCTTGAACTCACAGAGATCTGTTTGTCTCTGCCTTCTAGGCACTGGGATTAAAGGCGTGTGCTACCACACCTTGAAGTCACAGAGGTCAATCTCCCTCTGCCTCCCAAGCGTTGGGATTAAAGGCGTGTACTACCACACACAACTTCTCTTTTTCTTACTTTTTTTTTAAAACTTTTAACTTTTAGCTTGCATATATTTTTAACACACTGTAAATCATTTAAACATTTTCTTTATCTTTGAATCTCTTTACTGTATATCTCTCTTTTTCTGACCACACGAGCCTTTAAATTACTGAGCAATATGAGTAGGATTAAAGCCGTGGCTTTGCCAGCTAGATCCAGTCCATTCCTTAGCTTTCCAGCCTCATGGCTGAGGTACCGGTTGTAGCCATGTTTACTGCCACAACTCTATGGCATTTCAAGGTCCCTGCCAGCAAGCGAGCTTCAGCAGCCTGTGCTTGCAAACCACACGAACCGCCTGCGTAAAAGAGTCAGAGTTTGCCGTGGCAGGACAGCCCAGAAAGCCGGCATTTTTAAACGGCACAGCTTTTTTCCTGCTACAGCTGAAAATCGAAAAGCATGCGTTCAGCTTTTCGTCAACACCATTTAAGTGTTTTGTGGCAGGACCTCTTAATGAGCTGCAGGGTTTTGCAGCTGAAGCTGAGTCAGGAAGCCTCTCTTAGATGAGAGTGCTTGCTTGCTTCTAACAAGCAGAGGAGACCCGAGAAACTGCTGCTACCAAGAAAACATGCTTTACTCTTTCCCAAGCTTTTTCAGGCTTTCTGTGGATTCAGTTGTCCACACGTCTGGGCGCCATCTGTTGAAATAAGAGCGGCGGGGCTGCGTCCCCAACACCCCAGCCGCTTGGCTAGCTCATGCCCGAAATAACAACACACAAACTGTATTCATTTAAGAACTGCTTGGCCCATGAACTCTAACCCTTACAGGCTAATTCTCGCCCCTGGACTAGCCCATTTCTAATGATGTGTGTAAGCACCCCAAGGTGCGCTTACCGGGAAGATTCTAGCCTACGTCCATCGTGGGTTGCAGCTGCCTGGGAGAGCAGAGCATGGCGGCTGTCCGGTCCCTCTGGAAGCAGCGCAGAGTCTGACCTCACTTCCTCTTCCGCCCAGAATTCTATTCTGTTTACTCCTCCCATCTATGTTCTAAGCTATGAGGCCAAGCAGTTGGTTTACTATAATTAACCAATGACCTTCCTCCATCAAGAAGGTATGTTTTCCCCTGGCCGTCCTCACAGACCTTCTAACACCAGGCAGTAGTATATCCACACAGCAATAAATAAAGCTAAAAAGGCCTGGGAATCGGATAGGTGCAGTTTTAGGACCAAAAGTGACTGAGAAATCAATTGTGGGGTAGGCAAGTGTCTGAAACTTCAACATATGGAGAGATCACTTTGGTATCCAGTTCAATGCCGATTCTGATTTCTCTGTAGTAGACTGGACTTAATCATCTGCATTTCAAACAAGTTCATAAGTGGTTCAGCTAAGGTCAGGACACAGGCCCTCAAGTTGCAAAATAAAGCTAGCTGTTAGTGTTAAAGATATAAGAGCTCTGGACGGTGCTGTGTTCCATTGCTTACCAACAAGGAGTTCTTCTGGAGATAATGGTAAAAGTGGCAGAGGCAGCCAGCAGCAGTTATATCCCCCATGTGAGCTCAGACTCCATGACTGAGCAAAGCATAGTGCATAGTGGTCAGGAAGTATGTGATATGTTCATGTAGGAGTGGAAATCAACA